ACCTTAAGATAATTTGAATGGGCATATATGGCTTCTAGGATCAGCAGAGTGCTCACTAGTTTACCAGTAGTATGTGTTGTTTCATACCTCGGTCGTCTTAACTCTATTTTGGTTTCACGATTTTACCCAAAGTGGATCCCCTAAAGTTGCGTAATTTGATACGTCTGCTTCACATAGCTTCCCTTTGTCATTATCTCTTATTCGCTCGCAGAATGACATAAAAAAGCGTACACTGAAGGAACAATACGAGGCGGTGAAAAGGAAGACGGTGTTAAGTCACGTGATGAAATACGGTGACATGGTGAGTCATAAAACTCCACGGAGAGATTCATTTGTGTCACTTGTGAAAAGTCAAACTGTAATGAATATCACTGTATTTATCCAGATGACAGTTGTATTCCGTTACCTATGAAAGGCGACGGTCACGGGTGAAAATACTTGATTAGGAACTTCAGGTTCCATAGACGAAGTTCAGCAAGGTTGCTAATCCAGGCATCTAGATATCCAAGCCTAGCCAGTTTTGCTTTTCGGATAACCAAGCAAAGGCTTTGGGTTCCTTTTGATTCATACGTTAGTGTGCTACGGTACAAAAGGAAGTCGATTCTATATGAATCATTTACAAGTAGCTCAGAGGAAGAATAGTTTTACACGATGACTGGAACTTCCATCTGAAAAGTTGACACTCGTGGACCCAGTCAACACCTGGCCACGTGATGTGGTTTTTCGTGATTGAACGTGAAGTGGCTTTCCGTGATTGAACGAAAAGTGACGCTGTGTGCTGTCCAAGTGAAAACAAATCACGCTGCTGATCAGTCACTCGTGACTGACCGGATGTTTGCCGGTTAGTAACTGAGTGTCTTGCACCTGAACGAGCAAACGTAGATGATAATACTAGGGATTCGGTGGACATCAATGACTGATGACACTGGTGTTTGTGGGATGGTTTCGGAACTGATGTACATTGATCTACAGGATCTTTCAACACTAGCACGTGAGTACTTAAGTGTGAAACTATGGTCCAATGATGAATCGCATCTTGATTGTAAGGCAAAAGGCGCTATCTTGGTTGATACTGGACTGATATGTGCCTGTTTATCATTCGTTTCAGACGATGGAAAGTCTCCCAGTTGGAAAGTTCCAAGGTCATTATGATCAATTGTTGCATCGGAATGGAACGATAGCAGTATGTGTTAAGCGCAATAATCGATATTGTGTAATCTCTTAAATGAGTCATTTTTTAAGCATTGGATGGTTACAGAGATAGATAGATACATACATAGATAGACAGATAGATAGATAGATAGATAGATAGATAGATAGATAGATAGATAGATAGATAGATAGATAGATAGATAGATAGATAGATAGATAGATAGATAGATAGATAGATAGATAGATAGATAGATAGATAGATAGATAGATAGATAGATAGATAGATAGATAGATAGATAGATAGATAGATAGATAGATAGATAGATAGATAGATAGATAGATAGATAGATAGATAGATAGATAGATAGATAGATAGATAGATAGATAGATAGATAGATAGATAGATAGATAGATAGATAAATAGATAGTTTAGTAGATAGATAGATAGATTGACAGACAAACAGTCAATCAGACTGGTTACCTGACAAACTGACTGACGGTCAGTCGGATAGTCAGGGAAATGCATGTATGGTCACGGTTTGGAATAAATGGCCGGCAATGTGCATAAACACATCGGAGCGAGTGAATCGGTCTGGTGATTGCCTGAAGCATGGTCAGTGATAATCGGGCTGATGTTGAAAACCTATCAGTCCAACAGACAAGCGTTTAGCTGGTTGAAATTATTCGTGGATTTCATGTAATACCCTCCGACGGAACCAAGGTGTTTACCACTGACCATGAAAAGAGTAAAAAAATGGTCACCTGCTAAACTCAAGTTGCATCGGGATCGTTGTTTCATCAACGAGTTTGGTTGGATNTCACGTATGTGTATGTTGCATTCCCCAGCCACTGAGCAGGAGATGAGGGCTACTTGGTAGTGCTTCCTGGTAGTCCACGTACAACTCAACTACTGACACTAGGCCCGAGGAGCTTATCCAGATGCCATGCTTGGCAAACAGACCAACAAATGAATTGTTCAGTTTTCAGCATACAGCGACCATCGTGGAAATAATATGAGTGAAGCTGGAGGACAGACTGTAGATATCAATTACTTGTTAGATTGCAAATGGATGGTTACCGTGAATATACTGAGTGTGAAGAACACTATTGTCACAGGAATAATTGGTCATGCATTTTCATCCGTTTTAGGATGTCACACGGGATAACTTCGTGGAAGTGCTGAAAGGCGATAGGAAACTTGAAGCCAACGAGAAGAAGGTGCTGAAAAGGCGAGTTTTTGCGGAAGTAGATATTGATGATGCACTGGCTGATCACATCCAGAATTCTAGTGTTCCAGGGCACCGCCACTGTGAACAATTTTCGGAAATGTTCCAATAGGCGTAGTTTTAAATGGTCTAACATCTGCTTGGTGTTGTACAACTTAGGGTCGGTCGGTCTCTGTTCGCTCGGATTAGGACGCCGTTTTAACTCACGGTGTTGAACAACGCAAATAAACACTCTTGTTTGGATGATCAAAATCCAAGTCCACTGACGGCTTCGTCGCTTCATGGTGGTCCCTCAAATCTGTATCGAGATTCACCCCCTAATATTCTCAGTTTTAGAATAGCTGTCTCGCCTATGTGGGCTGGTAACGTCAAAGTGGCTCTTTCGAAATTCCTCCCACGCACATGACGCGATGGCAAGCGTCGACATACGGAGACAAGCCAGGAAACGAGGCAAATGTTTGTTTCCTCGCAAACTATAGGTTTCTCATCCGGCCATTTATACATAGTTTGGGTTTGCAATTGCGACAAAATCCGTAATCACCCGTTCTTTGTGCGTGTTTGCTGATCAACCGGTGTTTCGTACATGGACCTGCGACGGATGTTGCCCTACATATTCCCAGCTCTCCTGAACCGAATTTTTCGTTTGCAATTTGACAGAAAACCCCTTGATTTAAAAGTTTTTGTGAACACTGATTGTTGGGCCGCCAAGTGGTAATAGATTTGTAGCACTTTATTTGCTATCGCTTAGGGTATTAGGTTTCCGCTGCCTGCCACGGACATTTTATCCTGTTGTGGCAAGCTAGTTTTCTGCGAAACCAGATGTTCAGACGAAATATTTCGTTGGGCATATTTAAAAGAGATATTCTTTTTACTTGACATATTGTGAGTCTAATCGTCTGTATTTTAAACCTCGGCCAACGTTGTACAAAACTTTATCTTAGGTGAACTCCAAGGTATCTTTTTCTGTCAATTTTTGTTTTCTGCTTAAGTGAATGAACAGAAAGTTGGCTAAATGCTTTTCCAATACTAAGTCGAACAAATTCAGTTTTTCTGATCCCGCCTGTTGTTAGTTGGGATGGAGAAGGAAAGAGAGGTGGTCTATAGAATAGGTGATCAAAGGTAATAAACCCATCTGCACAATAAACAAGTTTTATCAACTGGACGAGCATTCGCGAAAACAAACTCCGAAAAATCAGGCTACAGCACAACAGCAATTCAGAAACAACCAATCAAAATGTACTACCGAAACCAGAAGTCGGAGTGAGAGCCAATCGAATGTGCAAAGCCAGAAGTCAACACATTAGAAATCGGTAACCGATCAATGAGATCATGAACAAAAGGTCTTCAGACAGAAACTGCATAAAGCAGCAGTCGAATTCAGGGGATGCCAGCCACAACGCAGCACAGTTCGAAATCAACCATTTGGACCCCAAGAAGTGTATGCTCCCTTCAGCCAGTCACAGCCGTATAATATCAAACAGGTATGGAGTGACTTCCAACCCAACCACTCACTCATGATGTCACTTCGGTTAGTGATGAAACATTTGCAAGCTGACCACTGCGAGCAGAGAACGGATGAACATCATCTTGATCAACGACCAACAAAGGGAACATTTCCAGATCAGTTTTAGATAAAAAAACATATGGCATTTTGGATATCCATGTTTGAAATGCAGGATCGCCCTACCTTGGTCATATTATTTTTTCTTGAGTAGTGTATATATTATGTAGATATTTCATTTAACAGATGTAATCATGCTAACAAGAGCGTGTTTTCAAAACAGCTGATTTTGTCTGTTTCAACGGCAAGATGAGAGAACTAGCTAACGTGGAAAACTGCTTCCAACCAAATTCATGCATTGGAAACCATAGGCATCAACCAAAAGACGTCCAAAAAATCAAATTTTCATCCCCGTATTCACGTGGCCATGCAAATAGCAGACTAGTGGAAGTCAATTTAGCTACTAATTATATCCAGCGGCGTGTACAAAACAATATTACGAACTACGTGGTTCCTATGCTTCCATTGCCGCGGGTTTTTTGTTGCGTTTTCCCATCTGTGCGAGCGCCAGCCAATAAGCTACTCTTCATGACCACCTTAAACTTTCTGCCCAATAACAGCGGTCCCAACGACAACGTGTTCATCTTCTACTCTGGCCATGGTGGGACTTCCTATATTACCATCCTAAAAGAATATGTAAGTGACCACGGTTTTAGCACGCAGTTTTCTAAGCGGAAGCTAAATAGTGAACGGGTTGAAAAGGCTTACGTAAACATGTTGGGGCAATGACATCGGTAATTCTTTATAAAAGGGGAGTTTATAGTCAAGCTGTTCTACACATCAACCGAAAAATGGAACGCATGCTGCTATGTTCGTACGTCACTCTCAAGATTGATAACCCCAGGAATTCAAGTTTGTTAGGTCTCGTCAAGGTGTTTTAATGACACCGTCACATAGATTTTGTTTTACGAAGTTTAAGGGCGTTCGACTCACATGGTTTTGCGGTCGATCCATTCAGACTGCTGAGCAAACGTAGATACCACAGACAAAGAAGCTGGTCGTATACGGTCACTCATGAGGCGTGGAGGATGCGAAGAACGCGTCAGCCAAATTCTTCCTGACATGACAACATACGGCTTCTCGCTTCTAGAGCGGCAGCACGAATCTTTAATAGTATGAAGTTTTGTGGTTATGTATGAGAAACCAGTCTGTGATGGGAAGCCGAGAAGCAATGTATAACTGTTCCATTCTTGTTGGGAATTATCATTGGTGCGCTTGATGAATGCAACGTGTAACCGTTCGGCCACGAGCGACCAACCAACAGCATGATTTATCCGCACAAAGTCAGGACATAACGTGGCTCATTCTTCAACCAAAGGATCCACATCACTGGTGACTGACTCATCGATTGCCTCATCTCAATCTCACGAGTAATTTTCTTCTTGTCTTGCGACAGCTGTTTGCAATGGAGTTGAACGATACCCTCGCCTACATGCATTCAAAAAAAAAGTTCAACAAATTGGTGCTCTACATGGAGGCTTGCAAATCTGGCTCTATGTTTAAAGATGTTCTTCCTTCGAATATGGGAAGTAAGTAGCGTAAATTTCCGGTTGATTCTTGCATGGGTCCTTTGAAATAGCACTTAGAATGTCAATCATGTATATGGTTTAAGAGCGGCGTTAACCAGTAAAGCAGAACGAAGTTCCAAACTTGGTTATGCTTGGTCAATTGGCGATCTTTGTATGTAAGTAGCCCATGACTCTACTCAAGAAGCGTTCAGCCGATGATAGCCAACATCGATCAATGTCGCTTCTGCTGCTGAACCAGTTTCATATGGGTTGAGGAAGTCATTGTGCAACCGGTACAAACCCTGTGATATTTTGGTGTCCCTTTGCAGCAACAACCAATGCCAAATGGATCGTGGTTCTTGTCTGTGGTCTCTTAGGGTTGGCGATCGACCATAAAAATTACAGATTGATACAGATTAATTTTACAGATTAATCCAGATGAATGTCTCGTTCATGAGAGTGTTGCCAAGTTCCTCCCAGTCCGGGTTTAAGTCTTGATTAAGTTGTCAAGGACTGCACCCACCTGATTCGCCGCAAGGAGCGCAAAAACAACTCTGTTCTGTCAATGAATTGTCAGCGACCCTGAGTAGTGTGTTAGGTCTAGACCACTGGCAGCTTCATTATTTCTGTGAGTCACACGATCCGTTCATCGATAATTTAACTCACTATTTCACACACGTTTTATATTGAACCATAATATATGTTCTGTTGTCTGAACCCCTAAACTTGCAGTCTACGTGACAACTTCAGCCAAGGAAGATGAAGATTCCTGCTCTATTTTTTGTTTTGACAAGATGATCGATGTTTGTCTAGCGGACGAATACTCGTATGTCTGGCTTTTAGATTCGGAATACGTAAGTTTTAACAGAACTGTTGCAGATAAGTCAGTCAATTGTGGATGGGTAGTACGGTAATATTCAGCAGCCAGTGGTAGTCCAGTTGATTCTCAAAACCCTTTAGTTTTTGTTTTCAAGCATGAAGAGGATTTATGGCAATTCAGGCATCACGGCCGTCCGGTGGCCCAAAATAATCAAACCATTGGTTGTATGTCCGAAATTTCTCACTATCCTC